TAGTCATTCTTTTTGTGTATTGCTACACCTCAGAAAATCGGTACAGTTGAAGCGTTTCAATCTCTCTCTCTCTGTGGATGGGTGGGTGGGGGTTATGTTTGTGCAAGTATATTTACCAGTATTCAGATACACTCAAGTCGGTTGAACATGTGCCTTTTTGAAAATAGGAACCATATCCGTAAAATTCCACGATTTTGCCATATTTCAACTAGGTCCCCCACTGCAGACAAATGCGATGTTTATATACGGGGCTGGAGAGTGCATTACAAAATAAATATAAACATGAACGAGATAAGCGTCACCAGGACTAAGCCAGGGTGATGAACTAATCTTTGTTGGTACCATAGGAGTTTACACCGATTGATTGCAATCGCTTAGGTGATCTTGAACATTCTGTGATTATGGTGTGCAGAGATCGCTCGTATTGATTTATCTCGAACAACCGAGTACTTTGTCATCAACAAACGTGTGTCCGTTGGGGAGCTCCTTGTTTTTTTATCTACGGACTCTGCCAGCCACTTGTGTTTACCGCGACATAGGAATCTAGATTGAAATGTGTTTTAAAACTGGTAGTATGTAATCACCTTTCTGTTCTGTCTGTGAATTTCAATAAAGGCCAAGCAAATCCGTGCGGAAGAGGCGGAAGAAGAGGCCAAACGTATTCGTGCAATGTCTCTGTGCAAGGTAAGTCTCGTCTCCTTTTTCATTTCTTCTCTGCTTGTTTTTCGCAAGGTTTAAGTGAGGAAAACTGAGGAACAGATGGGATATAAATGAAAAGTGTGCTTTTGGGTGTTGTGTGCCGACAGTGGTTCAGAGCATCGGAGGTTACCTGCACCTCTATCAAATGTCAGCGGAGTGTAACATAGCATAACATGAGATAGTGTTGGTTAGATTCTGTGGTAATACACAAGCAGCAGACTTTTTATTTTCCCATATTCAGCATGGTAATTTTTTTGAGTTGCACATGAAGCATCAGGTGGCCCAATACTTCATCAGTCAAAGAAAAGCTGCTAAGTGAAGATCCAGGTAAGTTTCAAGCTTTTCTGGGTAGATTCAGTGGCAGCGTAACCACGTTCAGCATGCGTTTTGCACCTTCAAATTGTAAAATGTTACTACAAGACTGGGTGGGTAAAGCACCCCCCGACTCACTCTCACTGGAGAAGTAATAGAGCAAGTGGACAAGTTTTGTTATTTGGGTAGCTACATCTCACCCAGTGGGCGCATCACGAACGAAGTGTCAGCTAGCATACAGAAGGCTCGAATAGCATTTGCCAACTTGAGACATCTGTGGCGCCGTCACGACATCCGGCTGTCTGTGAAGAGTCGAGTATATGCTGCAGCAGTTCAGCCAGCTCTACTATACGGTGCAGAAACTTGACCATTAAGGAAACAGGATAAACATAGACTGTCGGTGTTTGAACACCGCTGTCTACACCGCATTATAAATATATATTTCATACACGTCTGATGCCAGTATGTGTGCCAAACAAATCTTGATACAATAATCTTTATAAAAAGAAAAACCCGCCACGATTTGCACGAGGGCAGAATACTTCCAGGTTGCCCATGCCAAGGCAGGTGAAGTTTATTGGGGAATCCACAACCGGAGCCTTTATTAACCAAAGCCTGACCTGCAATTCAGCAGGGCGTTGTGCAAAAACCGCAATCCATTGGGAGCCGGTATCTAGTTCATCGAATCATACGCCTTTCGGACAGGGTAGGGCGTCCAGGGTGCCCAATACACCTCAATGCCTAGTCGAGACGGTGACCGTATTGTCCGAATCTGGTGGGGTAACCAGACCAGTTATGGCTGAGTGTCGTAAACAGTGGCTTTCTTGCATCTTCTTAATCTCTTTGCAACCTTAGACCAATGAAATTCTCCATTCTGTGTTCAACTTCACTTTGAACCTTCTCATATTCTTCATGGATATGGGCAGCCAAAAGACAGCAACCAAAACCGGTGCACGAAAGTGCATAGTTATGGATTGTAAAAATGGAAACTGAAACTGTGATGGGCTGTAACTCCATGATTATCGATGACCATGGTGATTCGTACGCTATTCGTGATTTTGAAATTCTAGAGGACGTTGAGCCTCGAATGAGTGCTGAGCTTGTAGGTGGAGATGTGAAAGGGGTTTAGTCATTGAAGGATCAGTCTCATCAGCCCATGCCACCACATTGCCTTGCGATTCATGTAGCTTTTGATTTCTGTTGATGTAAAGTTCTCAAATGGAGAGAAGATAGTTCCTTTTACCTCGGCTATTTTCACCCACATAATTAGTATCTCCCATGGACGTGTTTCACATTTCAGATATCCGTTTTTACACGCTCACCGGGTACCAATGAAGTTATCACGTCTTTGGTCAGCGTTTACAAAGATCAAACAATGGACGATGCCATCATTTCTGCACGTGCGGTAAGTTTATGTTCCTTTTGGGAAATGAGGTCAGGAAACGGGGGCATTCAAACGAATTGCTCGAATAAACCCGGGCTGTATTGTTCCCTTTGTACTATCACAAGTGCCTCTAGTTTCCTTGCTTTTGCGTTTGTGGAATACGTTTGAATATTCGTTATCTTTGTGTCGTCAGCCGTCGTTCTCACCGATCACTTTTTCTGTAACATCGAGATGTGTTGATGAGTGAACTGGATCTAACTTAGGTCATAGTCTGGCAGTATCTGTTCAAACGTTACCCAATTGTTAACTAACACACAAGTGTCTGAATAGACCACAAAAGTTGTTGATGGCTTTTATGCCCCCAACCCGTTTTATTATACTGTCATCAGCCTTGCAGTCTGAAGTATATGAGATTTAATTGTGCTCGTCCCACTACAGCCACTAAAGCCTCAACTTCTTCAATACCTGAAAACACACCTGAAATTCATCCAATCCGGGGAATGTTCTACGTACAATTTTTCATGATCAGGCCGAGACAAGTGGAGTAACGTGGAGCGTTCACATTCTAATCTTTGATGCGAATGCGCGCTAACTAGACCACGAACTGATTCACGGTTCACGACCCACAATGGTGTCTCAGCAAATGGAGCCCTTATAGAGGGCATGTGACGGTGAATCTGTGCTGTGTTGACTGCATAACTGTGTGACCACAACAGCATGATTTGGAACTGGAAAGGAGGGCCTAATATGAAATGACACTGTCGGTTGCTTGACAATTGGGTCGATGTATTCACACTGCTGATGAAACCCGACCAGGTCGGAACATCTTTCCAGTGCTTCCTAGATTTTCACCCAACGCTTCATTTGCTCTGTACACAACGAACTTCACCGCATACTCAAATCAAATCCTCCGATACTTTGATGTCATTTATTAAATAATCAGTTGTGCAAACAACTTTCGGCAAGGGGTGGGCTGCAGTCATTTATTACCTGCCTGGAAGGTGGTTCCGGGGTTCGAACTTTTGACCTCCGGTCCGTGTGATGGTAACCTGAGCCACTTGACTACCACCCGCTTTATTCATGAGGACCGGGATATACGGGCAGTCACAACTAATTGTCCCCATTTTCACGATGAACGTAAACGTACCGCCTAAACGTGTCTGTTCATCCGAATGTTACCGTCGCATATCTGTCTCTGAACAGCCCGCTTAATTGACATAGAATACCATGTCCGTATCTTGATTCACTGGGTTGTGGCATCTCCGCCTGGTGCCACTGCACCCCAGGGTGTAGTGTTTAGTGGACTTCCCCTAGGTCGTTAGACAACCAGAAACAAAGCCGCTCTCTGTTGGACTAAAAAATTGTTTGTCAAGTGTGCTTATTTGACAAGCCAAAGTAGAAGCGCCCACTTGACCTACATTCATACTCATTTTTTGTTATTGTACCGCAGTTCACCTCCAATCGGGACAGTCAAGTACCCTTGTGTCGAGTTTTTCATATCCTCCAGTGCAGGTGTGCTTTTGAATACCAACTGACTCGAACAGATGCACAATTTGGTTATTATCGCTTTCATAGTGAATTCCGTCTTGTACAGATAAAATGAAGTGTGAACTGAAAAGCTAGGCATCAGTTGGGCAGCTGTTTCCCTCTTACTACTACTATTACCACTACCATCACTACTACAACAATCATGTAACAAACTGTCATTTTCCTATTGTTTCTGAGCCATAAACCNTCCTGCAGCAAACTGCACCAAATCTTGTACATGAGAAATCAAAAAGTGATCAACTGTTCGGTGGCCAAGTGGGTAGTATGCTCGTGTTTCACCTTTAAGATCGCGGGTCCCATCCACCCAATTGGGTCGGTTTATTCACATTTCTGATGAAACTCAACCAGATCGACACAGTTATCCAGTGCTTCCTAGATTTGCGCTGTACACGACGAAATTCACAACAGGATCGATTAAAATTCCTCACCTCTGTGATATTATCGCAGCCCAGACGGTGTGTGTTTGTGTGTGTGTGTGTGTGTGTGTGTGTGNTGGTTTACCTGGCATTTGCCTGATCGGGTGACGTGCATTATCTACCAATTTGTATGAAGTTTGCCACGGTTATTTCTCTTCTTCTGCGATGTTTTTAGCAGATTTACGCGTCTCAACCATGATTACTATCTGTTTAGAGTACGTACTTTTAAAAAACCCGCCGTCGTTACCCTATTTGAGAATGCCGAACGGAATAACTCAAGTGCATACACTTCACAATCAAATGATGTGGCGGCAACTTTGGGGTATGCTTTGAACAAATCGGTATTGGGGCGCTCATTTAGACGAGCGTGAGGTCGCTCGTTACATTAAACAATTTTTTGTCTGATCCCCATTGCACATTCGGTTGTGATTAGCCGCATCGATACGCGATGGGCTGTTCAATCTGCTCGGTTCAGGCTTTTGTCTGCATTGTCCCGTTTGTTACAGGCCCTCTTGCCCCTTTACGCAGATTCGAAAGACGTCAGTTGTCGCCTCATACAATACTCTCAGAATCACGACTGTTTCGGACAGTCTGTGGATTATGCTGTCTGGCACCGGACTACCAGTCATGAGAATGCAATATCTCAGCGAGACAGCAATGACCTTCTCGTGAGTTCGCGAAACGTAACGCAACGCACTCATAGCGCATTTTACTGGTCGGTATTTTTGTCATTCTTACACCCGTACATTCCAGATTCTGGTCCCCAGTTTCCCTTCCTCACTCGTTCGCCCGTGCACAACAATGTGGAAATCAATTGTATCATTTTGACACATTTCGTTCGCTTTCGCTTACCACACTTGAGTTTCGGTTCGTCGTTTCTTGAATCCCGTTTTGCACGAATGAAGTAGTACCAAGTCCGTTTGAGTTTCAACCAGGATCGATTATCTGTCAAGTGCTGTGTGCCATCTGTTTCAATTCAATTCATTCGCTTTGCAAATGTGATTGTTCTAGTTTGATTTATCACATGAACCGTTTTTCCTCCTCCTCCTTGGTTAGAATCGGTCACTGTCCGATTTCTGTGTTGCGCAACTTTTGATCACAATGCACGTTATCTGTATGCTCACTTGCGATTACGGTCTATTATTTACTTGTTTGCATTCAGGGTTACTCAGATCACGAAGTCCCACCACCACCGCCACGGTCAACCGAAGCCTCGACATCAACGTGTGCGCTGGGATCCATCCACACCGAGGAACCGAAAGCTGCTCCAGCATGCGGTACAGTTGGTCCACTTTTGGTGGATGAGTTCATAAACAAAACTCGCACTCTGTGGCTGGAACATCGTTTAAATGTGCCAGGGGCTCTTGAATCCTCGTCGGTGGTGAACCAGTGGCGAACTTACGAACCCAAAGGTAAATTTATTTTCCCCATGTCACGTTTCTCCAATGAGTTGACTGTGGTTCTTATGAGATAGTGTAGTCCGCGTGGGAGCCAGGTAATTTGAAAACTCAGTAAGATTTTTCTGTGAATAATTTAGTACATCCTTTGATGATGATCGCGAGTCCCTGTGACGCACTATCGATAAATCTTTGTCTGCTATATCCGTGTGTCTATAGTGTTCCTGTTAAATTTACTTTCATTTTTCTAACTTCGTGTCTCAAATACCCTCTGCCGAGGAGGCCCTGCTTACTACCTTCACCTGTTGGAGTTGCTTCCCGACCAAAAAGTTTTTATTGCGCACTTCAGGCAGGCACGGTAAACTCCGCAGTGACAAGGTCCCGTTGTTCAGTGATGGAAACCGGTGTACTAAGCCCCGGGACTGGTGGTGGTGAACCGCATAAGGCTCCGCTAGGTCAGGTATGGTATTGGACCGGATGGTAACAAACCTACCCACCACCAAAGTTGGGTGGCGGTGCCGAGGCTCGAACCTCGGGCCATAGGGTCCTGAGCACGCCGGTGACACCGAATAAACCACTGCGCCACTACCACACCAAAGTGCAAACTCAAAGCCCACATCCGGTTCAGTGATTCGCTGGCAGCTCACATAGTTGAGTTAATTAAAAACCCTGATACTAAACCAACAAAGAGTCATAAGAATCACATTTTTGGCTGACAGTGGTTACCGGCCTGGGTAAGCGTCGAGGTGTACTGAGCGCCGCGCCGCTACCTTAGAGTCCAGGCTTGGGCAATTCAAAGGATCTGGTTGGGAATTTCACAAAATAGAGCAATTGCTTTAGCCTGAGTGACTTGACGGTATTTCACCTCGCGCGATTCATGCGCTGTTTTCTCTATTATGAGGATGTTTGTACCGTGATTTGCTCACATACATTTCGGACTCAATAAGTGCGATGGCGTAGATAGTGAGATTTTGTCCGGTTACTCAGTGTTTTTTAATCAGACTAACATTTCCTTTGGGAAGTAATCAGTCTATTCAGTCTATCTTTCACACTGCTTCCCAAGCTTCATGGGATGAAGTTTTGTCGGGTGACGTGCCTCATCTCATGATCCGTAGGAGCTGAATCACGGGACCTGTTGACCGAATTCACTCGAACACAGCAGGAACAGTCTGGTAGAAGGAGTCCTGTTGTTTTGATCCACATTCGGCTCTACTGCCGGGGCTTCAGGCGAATGCATTTAGTTTGACGCGTGTTTGGTTCATTTTAAGGCTAATTCATTCACAGTACTCACTCGGGACGAGTGAACTATAGGTTTNGGTTTATGCTGGCAGATTTAAAACATTCCATTACGTTGCACTACAGACGATGACCTGAATAAGGTGATAGATGTGATAAAACTAGGTCCAAACCCGGGGTGAAAATCATTTGAATAGATTCTGTATTATTGGAAAAATCCGCAGGCAAAGCTTTTCTCATTGTTGATTACATTCCATGGCATTGTTTCGTTGCCACGGATGACTTGAATTGCAGCTCACGGATGGCACTGTCGCCGAGCCCCTTCGAAACTAAAGTGTATCTATTTGAATTTTTCAAACAGTCATGGGTTTAATCATACTGTTCGAAGTATTGATTGCGATTACCGTGATTTCAGTGTTTCTCCGAAGCTTAAAATAACGACCGATTTCGCAACTGGACGGAAATTCCGTTAATTAATTGGTTCAGCTTTACCATCGTGTGTGGCGTGATACCATATATCTCATTTAGGAGCCACGGTGTTGCGCATCTTTCAAACACCGTTCACTGTTGTTTACAGTTCTGAACGTCCTAAACTGGATTCACATTTCATGAATCATGATCCTACATAGTTGTGCTGAAGACGGGAAATAATTTCCAACTTCCTATCATGGTAGGTGGTTGCATCGCTGCTGATCCCATTTTTCGTTTCTTGGTTTTTTTTGGGTCTGCGAAAATGTCTAACAGCCGGGATGTATCTTTCTATACCAATGCGACTTTCCCAGGGTAGATGTTTTTCATGGTAACTTCCTATCAGAAGATAACAAGATACTTAGAAAAATAGACACTGAAAATTGAGGCTCTTTTCGTTGAAAAAATTCGTTTTTCACATTGCGTTGCCGAAAAAGAACCTCGGACGGATCGATGCATACTCAGCCGTACGTCTTTCATCCTTGCACTATGATAACAGCCAGGATCGTGGGCGAAATCCATCTGCAACTGGGTGCTCTTCATCATCATCTGTTGGTTCCCGTAAATGCGCGTTCGTTTTTCGCCGTCAATTCAAAATCTCTTCCGGTCACATGAAATCTAGGCTAACGTTTGATGCTTCCAATTCTGCTCCATTTATTTAGTTACGCTGCTTCGTAGTTGTTGTGTGTCGCCATAATAACTTTTGGATTGTTCTAATAATTCCTGATCTTAGTACTATTTCCGTTTTCCTTTTTCAATATCTGATAGTTTCCATACGTAGATTGATTTGCAAGGTTTATTCGATTCCAATAAAATGGTGGTCAGTGGTCTTCACAAGCGGTATTTGACATGTCACGTGATGTCACTATCGATTCACTATTTATTTAGCGTTTGGCCATTAGGTCAGTGGGTAAGGAGTAGAATGGGGTAGGTTCGCTTGTTACAAATTTCTCATATTCGAGTTATTTTCGGAAAAGAACGAAATTTCGTTACAAATCGAATATTCTGTCCGCGGGAAGCATTGTCTTTGATTCACTTATTCATTCCCTCGTATACCTGGTTTTATGATTGCTTGTGAAAAATCAGCATCAAAGCATGCTTTGATTTCTTGAAGGAGAAAAAAACTTTAAGTCAACTGTTCATCCTGTGATTATCATGAGTTGTTCATTGCCGTCCGTGATTGGTATCAGATGCAACCGGTGGTGTTTTCTTTTTGTTGACAATTGTGGATTACCTTGAGTTATCACTGGTTGACACAAGTCAAGTCAAGTCAGTAGTAGCTTTATGCACCCGGATGGGTGTATTTTCAGCAATTACACCATATTTGTGGATTCAAATTTACAAAATCGTACATAGTGAACACAATGAAAGCAGTAGATATTGTGTTTCTCAATAAAGCAAGCAATTGCGCAATTCTGTGGAAATTGTCCTTGTCTATAAGTAGACGTGCTAGATATGGCAAAACAGAATTGCGATAAGCACAGGTACGTGCAAATAGAAGTTTAAATCGGGAGCGTGTGGATGATGTAGATACAGCTTTTGAAAATTCATTGTGTAA